CTCTTCCATTGTTTTCTAAATCTCAGCTTCATGAATTAAACTTTCTGCTGCCCAAATTAGAAACATAGCTTCCTTGTTGAACTCATAGCCCTTTGGAAAAATTGCCCAATAAGCAAAGCATCATTTCAAATGAGTTGGGAAATAATGGTAACTCAATCTTAGAGCTGGAATAATATTACATTTGGCATCGGGTAGCTCCCAAATATTGTTGTTCAATATGCCATTCCATTCCTCATAATTTGTGTTGAAACGTAAGAGACCTCCAAGTGTTTTTGCAGCTAAAGGCAAACCGTTGCACTTATGAGCAAACATTTGCACTCAAGTTCCCACTTGGAAATGCATGTTTTGAAAGTAACAGCCAGCAGTCCTCATCAGACAGTTGTTCCAAATATTGAATAGGAACAGTGCGCGTGACAGATACAACAGTTGTGTTACGTGTTGTCACGATAACCTTACCTCCCCTTGCCCCGAAAGCAAATGGACATCGTAGGAGATTCCAACATGGTAGTTGTCATTCCAAATGTCATCCAAGACAAATAAAAATTTCTTTCCCCTTACTCGTTCTCCTAGTTCAATTTGAAGAAAATTGAGGTCTCTATTATCGTAATCCTTTGAACTGATTGACTCGAGAAGGGTTTAGTTACCCTAGTAACATCAAAGTCTTTTGAAACATAAGCCCATGTTGTCATCATTATAAAGGAGCGGAGCAAGAGTAGTCTTGCGAACCCTGCCCATCCCAACTATAGTGATGACAGATACATCGGTGTTGATTCCATCCCTACCACACAAGATTCCTGAACCAAGGAAGTTGTTGGAGTCTCCCCCAACAAATTCTCTCTGACCAAGGACATCTTTTTGTTTTGCAAGGTGTTCAAGTCTTCCTAGCAAGTCCTCTATCCTACCGTTCATACCTTGATAAAAAAGGATTAAGAGAAGTAGAGAGGAAGTTTCACACCTGGGTTTTGACAGTTCGGTTTTCATCAGCCTCTACCTTGCATCTCAAACCTTCAGTCTTGATCTCATCTAATAAGTCCTCTGAAATTACGTGTAGGATGACTAAGAATTCCCAGAGAGGGTGAATATGCCAATTTAAAATTATAATCAATAAATAAAAATAAACTTTAGTAGCAGGATTGATATGGCTTATCAATCTTGGAAACATGCAGAGCATGAAATAAAGGAACACGCAGAGAATTATTTTATGTGGTAAAACCCCACCTCTGGGGAAAATCTACCAGATTCCTTAGTCCAAAACAAATCTACTATAGAACAATGATTACAAGAAGTACTCACACACTTATCCTAGACACATTCTAGATAATGTTTACCAAGTTCTTCGTAACACAACTTCTGTCATGGGATGATCTTTCGACACTCCTTATGTTAAACGCAATACTGGTCACGACTGCTTCAAGCTCGCCAGAGTTCTTCCAATTCTCCTTATGTTGAATTCGATACTAGCCACGATTCATTCAAGTTCATCGGAGAAAAACCGCCACAACGGTCTTGGTGCCCTCAATCATTTGAGTCACTGAACATGCAAATGAATGCAACATGAATGATAAAAGTGTTTGATAAATCACCAAGTAAACATGGAACAATTGATGATTTATCTCAAATAAAAACGCAGCTTTCTTAAACGTTTAAGCACACAAAATTATTGTTCAAAAGCTATGCAAGAAGAAAAACATCAAGCCTTATTTTATATAACCTTTTATTCTTTAGGAAGAAAAGTCCACGTCTAAAACACAAGCAATTTCATTGAAGGCTAACCAAATAACCAAAGATATGTTTCCTAGTCAAAACCAAAATCACCAAATAGGTATGAGCCAAAGCAAGAAGGTTTTTGTCACAATATTACTCTTTAAAGACCCTTGATATTATTGAAGCAAGTTTAAAGAATATCACAATTAATTTTTAATAGAGTATCTAATAGTTACTTGATTTGCAAGCACTCAAGACTTGACCCAAAAGAAGAAGCTTGATAGGACGTGAAGAAAAAGGAAAGCAAATCAATTTGAAACAAACATGCTTGAATAAGATGCACTCCTAAAGGGATTTTAATTGATTTAAAACTCAATGAAATAAAATCATATCAGACTTTTAAAAAAACGTTCCCAACATGAATGCATGAAAAATGACATGTCTTACCCTTCAGATCAAATGGCTCATACGTGTTAAGTCACAATTCTGGAATTCGGGGATTGCTGAGTTGTTTCAATCGTTCAGTTTCTGGAAATCAGAGACAACAATTTTGCTTCAACCATACAGCTAATTGACACTTCCAAACCAATGCTAAATTCTAGGAAATGCCAATACAATTTCATACTAACATCCTCTGCATCAAAGACAGCATCTTGAAACTCGTCAAGCCACTCTCTGACATAACAGTCATTCAGTAGAGCATTAAGGCCCAACAGTGTTATCTTAAGTTTCCTCACAAGCAACAAGCAACAAGCAACTCATCAAGTTTATGTCCACCGAACAAGTCCACGAATTCGGGCGAACCAATCGCACAACACCTACACAGAAGCAGAGAGAAAAGCCTTTCTAACCAGAGCTCCAGCCATTTTTTGATTTTATAATGGATCAAGTAGTGCAACTTTTCAAGTAACAAATCTCAAAAACTCTTTTGCTAAAATGCAGGTAAGATCTTAAAAAATTCGTTGACTTGGAGTCTTCCGAGTGTGAAGATTAGCAAATGTTTTTGTAATGTGGGGGGGAGTCGCTTTGTTGACACTTTTGTCAGTGCTCATAAGCAAGGTCTAAAATATCGGGATATTATTGATATCGATAAAAATTGAATAAAAACCACGGAAATTATAAGAAAAACTTGGAAATTTTTATTGAAACTTCGGAGGATGTTATTTAGTCAATTATCTATTAGTTTATCACAAAAAATTGGAAGGAAATGTATTGCATGATGGGTTTAACTAATTTAAGTTGATTATATAGCGAGCTGACAAACACTACTGTGAGTGTAGAAAATATGTAATAATTAATGAAAGAAGATTAAACACACCATAATAATTTATATATAATGATTTACTACAATATTTTATACTTTGTACATTGCATGGTAAGATACATGAGTGACTTAAGGCCCCATAGAGTTCCTATGAGGTTCAAATTTTTCATTATCTTCATCATCTCTATGTGTAGAGTAAGTGCATTGTGAATAGTAGTCATCAAATGATAAATCCTCAAAATAGTTTTGCATGTAATTGTTAACATGTCACCCATATGTATCTGAGATTGGTTGACGTTGTCTATAAGCAAAATCATTTGAAGATTAGGTCTCAGATTCTTTCCATAAGCCGCTCGATTCCATCCCAAAAAGAATGGTCAAAGACTCACATTCTCATGTGAAAATCTGATTCTTGCAAAAAAAGTTCAAAACAAAACAATATAAATATACGATATGTCTATGGTTAAGGCGTTGGAGGAGTGAAATGGCAAGCGTTTGAATCCCCTTTGCATGTGTGTTTTGTGCTTTTTTTTTTTATAATTACTTTTTTCATTTTTTTTCATTACATCAATATTTTCGATATTTTCGATATTATAGCGATATTTTGATAAAATATTGTTGAAGTGTGAGTAAAATTATCGATATCGATATTTTTCGATATTATCGATATTTATACGATATGTCTATGGATACATTCTGAAATATCCGTGACCTGAAAAAACGATAATATCCTCGATATTTCATCGATATTATCGATATTTTAGGCTATGCTCATAAGTGGATGGGGTCAACAAACTCAACTCATTATAGCGATGGAACTGTTGTATATGAAACGCGCAAAGAAGGCAAGACATTATGCTTTCATGCTAAGCAATGATTGTTTCTTTCCCTTTGGGACCTTAAATGACCCTGCATAAAATAATCACCATAGACAACTACTATAGTCTTAATATAGCCTACTTGCATCACAAAAAAATTTAAGAATTACATAATAAAACTGTTCACTTGTATTATACTTCCAATTGGCATACACCACATATGTTCTGGAATTACCAAAATGTATCAAAGGTGCTTAAAATCGAGAAAAAAAAAACTAAACAAAATCGAATTACCCAACAGTTTGAAGATTGGTAAGAATTGACACATTAAAGAATTTTAGCCTTATTTGGAAGGATTTAGAAATCTAACCAGTTGAGCCTCTTTGAGTAATGCTTGAACTCCCTCAAGTGTTAGAGTGATTAAAATCTTAGAAGTCCAGAAAAGTTGGCTAAAAGCCTTTATGACCTTGGAAGTTTGGTTACTTTCCATAATTTTATCTTTATTTAAAAGACCACAAATTTGGTTTGATAATGCGAGGGGCTTGTAGCTCAAGTGATTAAGAGCATCTACCCATGCATTTGAGGTCCTAGGTTTGATTACCTTCCCAATATTGCTTGTATAATTTTTTTTTGGTAATTAATAGTCTTCCTGATGGAATCAGCAACTAAAGCCTTACAAAACTGCTCGTGAGCCTGAATGGCACAATTGAATTGATTATAGTCTATATGGATATCAATTAATATGAACAAAATCATTGTCATTGACACAGTGAGTTTACCAAAATTCATATCAAATATGAACAAATCCATGTCAATTACATAATTAATCTAACAAAAGTTAATACCAATTAATCTAACCAAAATTTACCAATTAATCTAACCAAAAGCACATGTAAATTGGAGGTCATGAAATAAAGGTACACGTGATTAGAAGTTTGGGGTAATTTTCGGTGAATTTTTTGGCACACATATGAGTATTTAATGAATTTTTAAGCTAGGCCAATTAGAAATAGACATGTGTTGGCTTGCTATTGGGCCATTTAAAAAAGAATCAAAATCAGAAGCGCTGACGCAGAGTCTTCTTCTTCCTTAAACTGTGCCTCTGCAACTTAACTTCAAATATTCAAGAAAAACTTCGAAAATTCATAACTTTGGTTGTGTAGCTCCGATTGATGAACCGTTTTCTCCTACGTGCTCGTGAGATCGAGCCCAACAATATAAGGTAAATATTCAGGGTCTCACACAGCAGCAAACAATACAACGTCTTTGAGGCATTTAGTCGAACAATTGGTGGGCACTAGCGAAGGGGCAAATTCCAGCATCCCCAAGGAAGTTTCCGGCGAGGGGAGGTGCAGCTGCACCTCCTTGCGCCTCTGTGGATCCGCCAGTGATTGCCACCACCTGAATTAGTGTAAAAGAGGCAATAGAGTACTCATATATGATTAACTCCATTTTTTGTTTCAGTTGTATTTAACTTATTGTGCTTTTTCACACATTTTAATTAACCAAACAATTTCCCAACTGCATCGTTTTTTGGAGGATTGACGCTTAAACGAGTACCTCAAAGATAATTATTAGCACCAAAATTTGCTAACATATCTGCGACACAATTACCTTTCGGATAAATATGAGTGCAAACAAAATTCATCTGCTTAATGCGCCACAAACAGTTCTTCCACTCTGTATGAAAAAAAATCAAGGAAAGGAATAAGAGGTAGAGGAGAAAAAATGAACCACCAAAGAAAAATTAGTTTCAAGCCAAACATACTTCCAATATATCACCCAAGAGACTTGATAGCCTCAAGAAAAGCAAGAAATTCAGCCGCAGTTGAGCTAGGCCAGTCTTGATTAGAAGCAAAAACACCAGGAACGTTTTGCCATCACTATTTCAAAAAACACCCCCAAAACATGAGCCTGAAGCTTTACAAGAACCATCAATATTAACTTTAATCCAACCAGTAGGGGGAGGACACTACACTATACCACGCGAACAAACTTGGGAGCTAATGAAGTAAGAGGCCAAAAACCCAAAAGCTGAAATATTGGCATAAAGGAAAGAGAATGTGACAGGACCCGACCCAAATTCCACTTTGGAATCTATGCTGGACCCTGTGCGTGTCCGACACCTGGCGCGTGCCGATTACACTTGATCAAATTGACCTTTTAATGAAAACCAAAGTTTCTTTAGGGTTTGACTTCTACCGAAAATTCGGCAGAGTCTCTCCTGTAAATTGGACTTTCCCAAAAAAAATTCAACCTGTTGAAACACAGTTAATATCCACAACTGGCAGCATGCATAGGTTAACCTTCAAGCAGTTTACAAACTAGGCATCTGGCCTTTAATAATTCAAAACAGAACCACCAGCGAAGCTCTTAAGTCAAATAATGAGATATAACAAAGCAGTTAATGAACTCGAATTAAATTATGCATGCTCACTATAATTAACATAAGATAACTTCTCAATTTTCATCAAGCAATGTTTAACACCCAACACAATCATAAGTAGTTTAAGCACTCGGCCCAATTCGTACAACAATCCAAACCGGTTTCAAACCTGGCTTGGCCACAGCCACAATTTAACAACTCTCACTTTGTCCAACGGAAAAATAAATATTCATTTAATCAAGCTTCGTTTTCAATCGAGCTTTAAAACCACTGACAAGGTTGACACCAAACTCATTCAAAACCAAAGTAGTGAAACTAGATCCAAACGACTAGATGAAAGTTCCAGAAGTAACTTGTTGAGAACTAGTGTCCATAATTCATCATTTTCAAACCTCTGAGTATATATATTAAATATAGACAAGTACTTAGATATTTAGTTAATTTATTAATCACGGCCAAATCCAATTAACAAACCATTCCATTCTGATACTATAATAATAATCTTAATCGTAATAGATAACTAACTAACTAAATAATTAATTAATTAAACGAAAACTACCCTTAGAGATTTCATCACCTCCACCAATGCATAGTCTTCAAATATCGAAAGTAACATTTAGAGATACCATAAAATACTATAACCTAATCTCAAATGTTGAAATAATAGAAATATTCACAATTAACAATATATATATATATATATACACACATATATATTCTCATTCCATATTCATATAAACCCATAATAGGTTTCATGGTAATTTAAACAATGAAAAGTAATAACCCTTAAAGAAAATCCCACAACGAAACAATTTCCAATCTAAACCCATTCCATAACTTTCATTGTCTCAAAAAAATAACCAAGAATTCCATACTATAAGACAAATTCCAAAATCCCTCCAAAATCAACATAGTTCCACTAATAGTTAAGACTCGTTAATAAGCTCGTTCTAGTATTTCTTAAAGGGTAAAGTCACCTCAGAAGACTCACGGTCAACTGAGGGGTCAAACTATCCAAACTTGGTCAACCGACCCGCCGGGCCCACGACCTCCAATCACCAATCTGGGAGTTCCTATAGATTCAACACTTCTCTAAACCTACCCTGCAAGTTTGGTCCAAATCGAACGGTCAGATCTCTCACGATCGTACGATCAGACGGTTATCGTAAAACGCAAACTTTAACTTATTGAATCGGAACATCCGGGGCTCCGATTCACGATCCACGAAATCCTACGCAATCCTAGGAATGCCTAGATCAACATATTTTCAATTGGAGTCGATCTAACAGCCCGAACACATCGGACCCGGATAACGCCTAATATGCGATATCTGATCGACGATCAAACGATAACCAAATTAATATCCGAACATACCGTCGTGCTTGAGATGACATAAGGATTATTTTAGGACTTTAAGACCGGCAAAAAAGCGGCCCACGCGTCGCCACACTCGCCGACAACGAGTGGGTGTCCAAAGCGATTCCAGCGATCAGAAAATCTCCGAACCGCCAGTCAAGACCTATACCTACATGATCAGGACATTGAGTGGAGCAAGTTTTGCTCTTGGGCCATGGCCAAAAACTAACCGGAACAAAGCTGAAACCGTCGCCCAAAATGGGTATTTTGAACTATCTGAAAAACCTTAAAATCGATCTACAATACCTACATAAACAGATAGAGCATGATGAAGGGATGAATTTCCATACCTCACTTGACGGAATTGGCCGTTAGAATCGTTAGAAAATGCAAAAACATTGTCGGAAAACCTAACCCTTTTCTAAGCTTTGAATTAAGCTCACTGTCAATGAATCAAATCGGGTTTTGTAGAAGAGGACGAGGGGAATATTTTTTGTGAACGCACGACGGCGGCACGATGGCGGTGTATGAAGGCTTGGAATTCGAACCGGTGCACGACGGCGGCACGGCCAATCGGTTCATGACGGCGGCGTATGAAGGCTTGGAATTCGAACCGGTGCACGACGGCGGCACGGCCAATCGGTTCATGACGGCGGCGTATGAAGGCTTGGAAGTTGAACAGTCACTACTGCTACAGTGACTGTGTCGAACTGCCAAGGAAGAAGAAGCTGAAAAAAGAAATGGAGGGGAAGAAGGAGAAAAATAAGAAAATTTGGCCTGGTACTATAGCGGTACTGTAGCTACAGTAACAAATTTTAAAATTCCCGCTATGTCATTTTTGTTTCTAGCCCTTTCCTCCCTCGTTACAACTCGGAATTGGGCGTGCCGCGCGTGCCCGACTCAACGGTACTACTCAAGTCTACAAATTCTTTCCCGAACAAAAAGTCAACTTTTAAACCTATTAAAATATTCCTATGGTAAAATTGTCTTTTACTTGAATATTTTATTAATTAAATATTAATTTAGGATCGGGTTGTTTAGAAATGAAGCAAGCACTCACGGATTCCTCAAAATGAGAAGGAAACCACCTTTAGGAATAATCCAGACAAATAACCAAGCAATAAAAACGAATCAGATTTCTTAGATACCAAATACCCCACACCAAATTGCATGCTATCAAAAACGGTAACAGTCCGATCGTGTGATCGGGAGCGATCTGACGGCTAGATCGAGACCAAACTCTCGGATCATGTTAAGTAGACCTTGTCAAACTTATAGGAATGTTCGAATAAGAAAGCGAAGGCTGTGGGCCCCGCAAGCCTAAGTGGTCAATTTCACAATTGGTGTTAATCTGACCGTTGGATTGTGACGAGACTTTTAGAATGAGCTGAACTTATGGTTATGGACCAATATGAATTGGAAAATAACAAATTGAGGTCGTGAGCTGTATTAGTACAGTCAATTTAAATTGTGGGCTCTGTCGGCTTGGTTGAGGCTATTAGTAATTTTCTTTAACGGAATTTTGCTGTAGTTATCTTTCTTTGTAGTTGGAGGGTTGTTTTAGAATGATATCCTACTATGGAAGATTACTTAAACGCTTATGAGTTATTATGTAATCACTTCTACTTTGTGAGTATTTTATATTATGTTTAGTTGCAAAGTGTTGGGAATGGTTTGTTAATCAGATTTTGACGTGAGTAATAAATTAATTAAATATCTAAGGATATGTCTATATTTAATACGTATACTCAGTGGCTTGAAAATGATGAATTATGGACACTAGTTCTCAATAGTATGTGGTGCAATTTAAATGTAGTTGAGAACTTGAGAACTGATTTTTGGAAAGTTGAGAAAAGATTTGGAAAATGGATTTGTGGAATAAGGGAAATTTTATGATAAGTTTCGGAATATGGTTTTCAAACCCACCATAGGAGTACCCCCCAATTGCCTTTGGAACAGTTTAGTCATTTATGGTAATGCCCCACAAGTCTCGGGGACGCCTAAACCGTGTGGGACCCCAGGATATGCGTTCTCGGGCTGACTACATGTCCCCCGAGTTCTGCGAGGATGTGCGTTCTCGGGCTGACTACGTGTCTCCTGAGTTCTGTGAGGTTATGCATTCTCGGGCTAACTACATGTCCCCCGAGTGCTGCGAGGATGTACTAAACATGGTACTTGGAATTGACAGAATATTGTTGAAATTGACGGAATATTAGTGGAATTGATGGGTTATGGGGTACGCCTAGGTGGAGTGTATTTTAGTTTTGAGATGTTTTAAACTAAAATTTACAATTTTGTCTTGGTACTTATTGGTGAAGGTTTTAATACAAGTTTTCCAATTTATGAGACAAAGATTGAGAGTTTTCTAAGTTTTAAGGATTTTATATAATTCACAATTATTTTCTTAAGTGATGAATTTGTTTTCACATGTGAAAGAGGGAACATGTTTTATTTAAATTATTGATATTGAGCATATCACTAACATGAGAACTTGGATTGATTTGCAAATTACATTGAAAAATAACAAATTGAAAAAGATATACAAGTGCAAATATAAAAAGTGTATGAACTACGTGTGGCTTGATCCCTTGGTAAAGGTACGTAGGCAACCTAGAGTTACCAAGTGCAGCCACAGAATCAAGTGCTGAAAATTTGCTCAGTTAGGTCATATTGGCAATTGATAACGTATCCATGTTGTTCTTAGAGTTGAAACCAGATTCAGATGGTTGAATGATTTATGTGGTATAATGAGGCCTGAGGCGATTCTGATTTATTTGTCTGATGCTTGCTAAACGATTGAGATTTGATTTTCGACTTTAACAGCATATTTTTACAGGTGTAATTTTTTTGGGAAATGTTCGTTTTTCAAGAAAGACTCTACCGGTTTTCTGGCAGAAGTTAAACCCTTGAGGGTGTTTTTGTTTTGTGGTTTAAGGTAAGCGGAGAAGTTTGGACAATTGTGTCTGACACCTGTTAGGTGTTGGGCACGCACAGGGTTCGACGTAGATTCCAAAGTGAAATTTGGATCGGGTTCTGTCATATGCTATTATACTATTCTATAATTTCTCCAGGTTTGAGGCCAATAAGGTTCTTCTTGTAATTGTAAAATTTTAAGTTTAGTAACGAAATATAGTCGATGCCAAATGATATTAGAAGTAAAGTGCTAAAAATGTGTATGGTATAAATTTTGTAATTCTTGTCTACTTTGTTTTAATGTTCCAAAAACGTTCTGTATTGTTTTAATATAA